AGAAAGATATTTTCATATTTTCATATTTAATAATTATTTTGACGATTAAATTAAATTAATTCAAATTTAAAATATATTATTTAACTCAATTTAATTTAATTGAGAGATTCTTATGGCTAGACCTTCGGCTACTAAAGAGGAAAAACTAAACCACAACCAAAAGTGAGGTCAACAAGTGCATATTGCATAATCTTCCCTATGGGTTCGATATTCAAGTCTTAATAAAAAAGTCATATGTTACTTGATAACGATATATATAATTGCGTAGTATCCCAATATAATTATATATAAATTTTAAAAGTTAAATTCTTTTTTTTTTCAGGATCAAGATTTTGGTTTTATTGTGAAATAAGGAAATATAAGTGAAAAATATAATCAGAATTATTGTTATACTGTTGCATATAAGCAGTTTCGAGATCAAGTATGTCATAGTAGAGGTAGGAAACATGAGATGGGGATAAGTTTATTGTAGGTTGGATGGGAGTGTTACGATGAGAAGTGTGATGGAAGGGAAAACAATTTTCATTGAATTTAACATGCCTAGATATGATAATTCACTTAGGTTAAATTTCATAACATTTGCAACCTTTGTGATGGTTGTTGTAACCCAAGAAAACACATAGTGGAGCCTTAGATGCGAATTTATGATGCATAGATGGTGGATATCATGGGAAACATGTGCAACTACTGGTTTTCAAGTTATGATATTTAGGAGGAGTATTATGAAGAAGCTGAAAAGGAGAAATGTTATGGGTCTGCAACTACTGGTTTTCAAGTTATGATATTTAGGAGTATTGTGAAGAAGCTGAAAAGGAGAAATGTTATGGGTGGTAGGGGAAGGCATGCAGGTCAATGGCAATTTGGACAATAGTGAGGTAGAATTGTGTGGGGAGAGAAGCAGTTTTAAAAAGTGTTCATGTTGTTTCAATAATGTGCATGTTTTTGCACTTTGCCACTCCATTTTGTTCGGTAGTATAGGGGAAACTGATTTGATGTTATATTCCTTGATGTTTTAAATAGTTTTGTAATTTTATGATTTATATTTTGTGCCTCCATCAGTTCTTAAAATTTTGATTTTACAATTGTACTGATTGGTTAGTTGTTTAAGTAGGTTAATAAAACACATGGGTACCTCAGATTTAGCATACAATAGGAAAGACCAATAATATTTAGAATAAGCATTTATAAATGTTAAAAAGTAAATGCAACCATCAATGGATGGCTAGGGAAATGACCCCCAGACATTTTAATGAATCAATTCAAATAAAGCAGGAGTGTCGCTAATAAGAAAAGATTATATATCGCATTTGTTTTGAAGACAAGAATTACATATAGTTTATTTTTAGGAGGTTTAAGGTGTGGCTATTGTTTGCTGATGATACACATCACTTTAGATGGTGGATGCACAAGTCTGTTGTGCTAAATTGAGGAAGTTGTAGTGGTTGTAAGAGCTTTCAGTGGATAGATGCCTTTATTTTGGTTGCCACTAAGAATAAGAGTCATGGTTTTGACATCCTAAATAAGGAAACCATTGGCATAAAAGGTAATTGAGTAGTTATTGTCCTAAACAAAATTAGATACAGAGAGTATGTTATGAGAAATTTTTGGTACTCTTAATATTTGAGAAAGAAATAACTTACAATCAAAAGTTGGTAAGAGCCCATTTCCGATGTGAGAAATGTCTTGGCTTGTCTATTCCCTGCCATTACCTTTTTTAATCCTTTGTAGACTGTGCGATGTTGGACGTTTTTGAGATATGGGGTCATATGAGATAAGGCCTCATTGTCAAGAAGCTAATCTTGGTTCATGGTGCTGGTGGTAGCGTTGAGAACAGTGGGAGTGTTGGTACTTTCTAGCTTTAATTGCAAATTCGTTCTATGCCAGCAATTCTCATCTGAGTGTCTCCTCTTATGGAAGATTTGACATAAAATGGGGACCTTATCTGAAGAGTATCTGTTGTGAGAGCCCGAATTGGTGCTTTGTTGTTGATTCTTGGAGGGGGGTTGTTTCTAAAGAAAGTATTCTTGTTTTTATATGAAAGTAAAGATGTCTTGTGAGTGGATTGAAGGGCTTCATTAGCAAGATTTATTTCTTCATTGTAGAGTAAAGAATGGAAATTTTCAAGACTTAAAGGGGTGAATTGAATTTTGATGGCGACTTTAAAGGAATTATAGTGGGGAGGAAGACAATTCATTGTACATATGATGATGTCCTCACTTTCAACCTTTTGCATTATAGTTTGTGTGCCCATGTGAAGGTTATGTAATTCATGTTCTAATTGGGTGACTCTGGAACGATTAGCCATTTGAAATCGTTTTTCCAGAGTGGTCCATATAGCAGAGGTGCCAATAAGATATAGAATCTATGGAAGAACATATGTGGAGATGATTGAGAGAAGAATTGCAGAAAGCTTTTGATTAATTAACTTCCACAGGATATAATCAAGATTTTCAGTGATTATAACTATGGAGTTGGTTTTCTTAAGGTGTTGGGGAGATGGTGGGATCAAGGAATGTACCAAACCCATTTGCTAGGAAAATGTTTTGAACCTGAACTTTCCTCAGTGATTATAACTATGGAGTTGGTTTTCTTAAGGAGTTGGGGAGATGGTGGGATCAAGGAATGTACCCAACCCATTTGCTAGGAAAATTTTTTGAACCTGAACTTTCCATACTGTATAGTTTTCCAACACCAGTGGATTATTGGCCATGCTTTTGAAAATTTGCATAAAAAAAATATGGTGAGGAGGCATATTTGTGTCCTTCATCCTGCTGAGGAAATTCTGAGATGTGGTGGGGAAATTAAGGGAAACAAATGTGGAGGAGTCCATGGATCTTGTAGCCTTCAAGAAGGAATGGTTATGATACCATAAATGAACTCAAAAGAGGGAATAATAGAGAAGATAAGGCACAGTGAAGTATTTCCTTATTATTTTTTCACAACTAACTCTATTACATTCATATGGTTATATTGAAAGCCTGAGTGACAAACTAGTAAATGGTATAAAGAGTAAATAGGACAATTGCATACATAGGATTAATAATATTAGTACATATGTTGCCTTGACTAACCCTAACACTTAGAGAGGAGTCACATAAAGCATATGGAGAAGAAGCCTAGCAAAGGACTCTGTATAGGAGCTGAGACGAGTTAAACAAAGGCAGAGCGGCTGAGTGAAGGTAGATATTTTCAGGGAAAATAAAACCCACAACCCTCCCTGTATCTGTGTAACTTGAAATATTCACCGGAGAACAACGCAGATACAGGGAAGCCTGTACTTTTTCTTTTCTCTTTGACAATCTCCACTGTCACCCGCACCTACCGCACACCGTACTAAATAATTTTTCTTCCTCTGCACATACGATTTAATTCTTTTTTTTTTCCTTTCGAACTCTCTAACCGTAGTCTTACTTAAAAGCATTTGATCAATCAAACAAAAATTATAATAATAAAAATATTAGTTTCAATAGAAAATGAGATGGTGGCCTAATGGTTGTATACTTCTTCCCACACCAAATGTCGATCTCTAATGTCTGTTAATAAAAAATAGATAAATAAATAAAAGAACTATGAGGGCACAACCATGTGTTATTTTTATTCTGTGTCTAGATCAGTTGAATCTCAGGATGGTATGTCTCTGCTTGAGAGCATTATAACCTTCTCAAAGTGGGTTATTTCGGCTTAATCTATAATTAATATTAAAAATCTTAATTTTTTTGTGAGTAAATTGATTGTTCATGTTTATTTATCTGCCTGCTTTAATTTATTGTGCGACATAACACCATTCTTGTGATATGGCTTTCATTCATATTTTAATTGATCAAGATCCTCAAGCTGAAGGTGTTTTATTACCTATTGATGGCTTCAAATTGCAATTAATCTTTCATTTTAGCACTTGGGCTTTTATTCATTAGTTTTTTGTCAACTTGGAAGTTACAGAGGTGGGTTGCATGACCATCTTCCAGATGATGATGACAGGCTTTATGACCCAAAAATATGTTATTTGAGTGATCGTGCTTGATATCTCCAAGTAGGTTTAAGAAAATTAAGCTGACAACATACTCTTTTTGGTGAGTAATTGATTAATTAAACCAGGATATGTTTGAGATAGCTTTTATTTTAATTTTTAAAATACATACTTTATAATTTGAACTATTTCGCTCAACTTGAAGGAGGTCATGCAACCTACTTAAACCAGGACATGTTTTATAATTTGAACTATACTCATCACAACTCAGAAACTATTTCCACCCATAATTTAGGCTTACTTTGAAGCGCATACTCATTGAACTAGTTGAGGAAAAGACCATCAGATCACATCTTTTACTCATCACAACTCAGAAACTATTTCCACCCATAATTCAGGCTTACTTTGAAGCGCATACTCATTGAACCACTTGAGGAAAAGACCATCAGATCACATCTTTTCTGAAAACAAAATATTCTCTTCTGATATATGAAGTTAAGTTCTTCGAATTTATACTACCATATTAAATAATGCAGTTTAAAATGCAACACAGAAAATGTCCTATTACAAAACCCCATTAATTCGCACAAGCTATCCTCCCTCCAAAAGAAATGACAAATCTAACACGTCCAAGGTTGGCAATTAGCCCAGCTAAAATTTGAGTTCTTTTTTTATAGATAATAAAGCTAATATTTTTCTTTTGTAATTAGAAAATTTAGTAATTTTACCCTTCACATATTTTGTACCCAATATTTAATATTATATATATATATATATATATATAGATATAGATATATGATAATTTTGACCAGCCTAAAAAATAATACTGATTCAGCTTGTACAAATAATTCTTAATGGAAGGAATATCTTTGAAGCTACAGCCACACAATTTAAACTTTAATAATAGTAATAATAATATAAAAACCAATAAAATGCTAGGTAAATCAAATCAAATATCATAAACAAGTTTGTCATAATTTAGAGATTTAACCTATAAATAACTTAAGGAGCTGTTAACAACAAAGCAAGAAGGAAAATCATCAAACTGCAAAATACACAGCTTGCTTACAAGCATCATCCAGCTTTGTTACATTATAACTTCAACATAATAAAAGGCCACAGTGATTCATTCATCCTCCACCTCTGCCACCAAATCCAACAAACACATACAAGAAAAGCTAAGAATCAAACCTGCCTCCCGAAAGCCATGAAAGCTCGCATATTCACTGATTTCAGCAAGAGAGATTTAAATAAAACAAAACACCATTACATAGCATAAACGATCTCCCCGCTGCTGTCCACATCAAGCTCTGGATCAGATGCAAAATCGTCCATGTCTTCATCATCAAGATCAAGGCTACCAGTAAGGTATTGGGTTAGGCCAAGAGTACCGGCTGCGGGAATGGTTGCTTCTGCTATAATCTGCATTATCTGGTCGATGCTCTGCATTGGCTGGTCCGGTTCCTCGTACTGGTTGCTCATTGTGCTGTCGTCCATTAGATCAGCAGGGAGGCTTTTCAGAAACCACTCGTGGTTACGAATCTCGGTCATCGTACATCGCTGTGGAGTTTGCAAATTGGTTTAAAACTGAGTTTGAAATGAATGTTGATTGGATGAAGATTGAGAAATCGATTGAGGATAGCATTAGGTACGAATATCTAAATCAGTTGTTACACTAAGCAATTATAACATAAAAATTAATAGCTGCAATTTCTGGTGCATGGAGAGAAAGCCATAGCAACTATAACATCTAAAATTTGTCAAAAGTCGAAAGCATTAAAAACTTGTCCAAACTCAAATCCAAAATTAGGAAGATTAGAATATTTGGATCTACTGGCTGAAATAAATTAAGCATGAATTATTGTTGATCATATCAGCATAAGTGGTAAAACAAAAATGGTACAAGTACTAGCATAAGTGGAAAAACAGAAACAAGCTTATTCTATGGCAGATACTTTATCAAATGCACTAATTACCATGGCAGGATTGGCAACAAATATCCTCGATATTAGATGCTTGCATTCAGGAGAAACATGAACATAGTCTGGAATTGCATATTGTACACCTAAAATACGCTGCATCAGGTGATATTGTTAAACTCAGTCCCACACATAACACTTTATGGCAAATTTTCCATTAAACAAGAAGAAAAATAACTAAAACCTGAATAGTTTTCCGGAAGTTCTTCGGTTCTTCAGGATCCTCAAAAGGATACGCCCCCACCAGCATTACATATAATGTTACTCCACAGGACCACACATCAGCAATCTGTGAATGTGTTTTAGATATAAATTGTTATTTAGCAATATAACTACTTGAACATGACTGGTCTGTGTAACCTAAGATGCAAGTTACATTACTAGTCTGTGTAACCTAAGATGACGAGTTCAATTCCTTCTGCAAAAATTCCTATTGAAAAGGTCAGTCTACCAGGCTTCAGAACCAAAATTAACTTAAAAAATCATAGGCTTGAATAGAATGAAATTACATTGCGGTGCATTATGAATAAATATTAGATAACAGAAATCACCAAATCACAGTATACAAAGCAACATTCATTGCACATTCTCAATATGCCAAAAAAATGCAACAACAGCAACAACAACAACAAAACCTTAATTTTGTTTTATGCTTCTCTTTTAAAGACCAATATTCAGCGCCATAGAGCATTGCAGGTCTCACCACCCACCATCTATCTCGCCACCATCTAATAAAATTTTCCTTTTAGTCTAAGCGATACTTTTCTATCTCACACAATAGGCCTGAAGCATTCCCCCACTTCAACTAACCAACTTGAATTCTACTAATAACATCCCCATCAATATTACCATCACATTGAACAATAGACCCAAGATATCTAAAGCATTCACACCTTTTAATAATTTGATCGCCCATAGTTACATTTATGTCACTAGAGCTACTACTACTAAAATTACATTCCAAGTATTCAGTTTTAGTTCTACTCAAACGAAGGCATTTAGACTCCAATGTAGACCTCCATAATTCAAGTTTTTCCCAAGCTTTATCTCTCGTCTTATCCATGAGAAGGACATCATCAGCAAAAAGCATACACCAAGGTACATTCTCCTGTTAGTGTCCAATAAGACCATCCATAATTAAAACAAAAAAAGTATGGGCTTAAAGCCGATCCCTGATGTAAACCAATAGAAATAGAAAAATAATTGGTCAATCCTCCTTCTGTTTGAACACAAGTAACAGTTCTTGTATACATATCTTTAATGACTTGAATATAAGTCATATCAACACCTTTCTTCTCAAGAACTCTCCAAAGGATATCTCTTGAAATCTTATCGTAAGAATTTTCTAAATCAATAAAAATCATATGTAGATCCTCCTTATTCTCACTGAACTTCTCCATCAAACCTCTCAACAAATGTATAGCTTCCATAGTAGATCTGCCGACATAAAACCAAATTGATTAGAGGAAATCTTTGTAAGACGTCATAACCTATGTTCAATTATCCTATCCCATAATTTTAAAGTATGACACATCTATTTAATTCTTTTATAATTTGCACACTTATGTGCATCCCCTTTATTCTTAAAAATGGGGATTAAAATACTCTTCCTCCACTCCTCAGACATCTTTATAGTTTTTTAAATAATATTAAAGAGTTTAGTAAGCCAAGAAACTTTCAAACTCTTAAATATTTACACACTTCAATTGAAATATCATCAGGTCCTATAGACTTTCCACCCTTAGTTTTCTTTAAAGTTTCCTCAATTTCTTTTTTACTAATGCGACTGTAAAAATGAAACAATATATTATTATTAACGATATTAAGATTACTAAGGTCGATTATGTTTTACGAAACTTAAATAAAAAGTTTATCAAAACATATGCCAAAAAAAAAGCATTTGAAAAAAAAAAGTTTTGAAGTTCACCGACGATATGAATTCAAGACAATTAAGGAATTGGGTCTCCTTATTTCACACTCCTAGTAGCAGATCAAACATATAGAAAACATGCAAGTATAAAATTCAGACATGTAATTATTCTTATATCCTAAAAAGGAACAATTTAAGAAACTTCATTTTTAAAAACAAACACTAACCTGAAGTTTCTTTGGGTTTACCTATCAATATGATTAAGAAATTACTAATAAAAAAATAAATTTACAAAAATCTTAATCTCACATCCAGCATTTTCAAACAGCCTCTCTTTCAGTGAATGCTTTCCAAAAGGTTATGGATTTATATGTAACTGATGAAATCCATTTAGTTCTTAGCCATACTGTTTCTTATTTATGCAAGACAAACCGCGCTCATCTATAACCTTGCCTGCTGTTTCAAATGTTCGTTCAAATGTTCTTAATCTGAACTTAGGTTGACTAGCAATTTAACACTTCAAACACAACAGCATTAAAATCATAGGCCCTGCTAAGCATATCCGATATATAT